GCCCCAGGAGGCAGGCCTTCTCTGCCATGACATTCACCTTATAGCACATTCTCCCCTCACTCCCCCCCCCCCCGAAATTAGGCTCATTCCTTCTATGATATTGTTTAGGAAGCCCTTCAAGATCTAGTTATGTCATCTGGCCTTGGGGTTTTTGAGAACTGTAGACAATTTTAGTTGGCTCCATTGTAATTGATATTCTTGCTCTCTACATGGGATTTGTATCATTTAAAATGTTTTGATAGTATTCTTATTTTAATTATTTCTTTTTGTCCATTTATATTTTTATCCATTTGTGTTTTATTCAATTGTTGTACATCATCCAAAATTATTTTGTATGAGTTAAGCAACTGTGTGTGTGTGTGTGTGTGTGTGTGTGTGTGAGAGAGAGAGAGAGAGAGAGAGAGAGAGAGAGAGAGAGAGAGAGAGAGAGAGAGAGAGAGAGAGAGAGAGAGAGAGAGAGAGAGAGAACATACTGTAGAAATAGTATAGAGTTTGTGGTCTGTCCCTTTGAAAGTTAGCCCTTTCCTAGTAGTTCTCACCTCCAAAATCTAGATACATATAAATTAAGATGTAGAGGGAGGGAGGGAGGGAGGGAGGGAGGGAGGGAGGGAGGGAGGGAGGAAGGAAGGAAGGAAGGAAGGAAGGAAGGAAGGATTAAGTTTGGACTCATCTTGGATCCAGCTTAAAATTTATCAAAGTGCTGAATGAATGTATACTGCATGTATAAGGAATTAACATATCAAACATGAATTAACATAGGAACCAATTTTTCCCCCCAATGACATCTAAACGTTTTGTTCAGTTTATTACCTGGCTTAGTATTTTGGCTTTTGCAGGCTTCATTGACCCAGTTAACTCGTTGTTTTAAAAAATTCATTAGTTCCATGTATTTTTTATAGCTTAAATCAATTAGAGTGTCTAAGAAGACAGGAATCCCTCTAGATGTTTTGCCTCAGAGAGGATCTACAGTTAAACAGACTGAGCGCATGCAAAGGATTAATGACTCTGATTTGCCAAGAGTATCCACTCAGCCACGCTCTAAGGATGAGAGTAAGGAGGTTCGGAAAACTAGGAAACAAGCTATCAAAGAAGAGCGAAGAGTAAGTTTTATTTAAATTGTTTAAAATAAATGTATTTCATTAATTAACTTTATTAACCTTTAATTGACTGAAGCAAGGGGAATAACTACTGTTAGGTCATAACTCAGAAATGTATATTAAATAATATTGTGTAGTGTATATATTATTCCCACAGGATGGAACTCAAAATAGATTATTTAGGATTTCCATTTAGGCACTGAGTAGAATTAGCTGTAGCGAGATTGTGGCTTCGTACACATGTAGAACTTGATAACTATAAAACCATCCCAATGAATGAAAAAATGACACGAGCCTAATTAGAAGTTGTGCTATGATAGGCCTGAGGTAAAATTCAAGGGTAATGTCAATAAGTCATTTTTTTTTTTCTTACATGGCAGAGAGAAAGGGGGATTTAAAAAAAAAAAACATTTTAAGTTACAGGTAGTCATCCACTTACAACCACAGTTGATCCCTGAATTTTGGTCGTCGACCAAAGCAGTCATTAAGCGAATGTGAGGGTCATTAACTGGAACACTGAGGAAAAGGAGCAGGCTCCTGGGTTGGGTGGGGCAGGGACAGCACATAGACCTCCCACAATCCGTGAGGCCTAGGTCCTTCCCTTGTCCCACCAAGGAAAACAACTGCAAGAATGATAGCATTTGTTAGTTTTTCTGTGATGGCTCTGTTACTTTCTAAGGGGGTAGGAAAAAGTAGATGGCTTTGATCTGGCTCTGAGGTTACCTATAGATGGGGTTGCTCTCTCATTGAAGCAACAGCTCCATGATATGGGGATATGCAGCATCTGCTCAAGCCACAAATGAAGGCAGGGACCAAAGAGGGCTTTGTCCAACTCCACTTGAAGCATCAACTGCTGGTCTTCTTTTGACAGTGGCTGGTGCATTTAAACTACTGCAGCGCATTTTATATGAAACTGGTTTTGGAAAAGGCTTGGAAATCAATCAATCAGAATAGAGCTGGAAGGGACCTTGGAGGTCTTCTAGTCCAATCCCCTGCTGATTTATATTCATCAAAATCAGACAGGTGTCCTCTTACCATTTTCTTGCTTATTTTAATTTTTATTTCTAGTCTGTCTTTTACACTTATGTCTTTTGTAGGCTGGGCTATAGTTTCGTTTTGCGTGAAGACTTATGCAAAGAATACGTTAAGCAGCTCTGCTTTCTCTCTACTGCCTGTTACTTCCTTGCCATCTTCTCTCTTTAGTGGACTGACTGTTTCCTTGACTTTTTTCTTGTTATTTAGATGTTGAAAGAACCTTGTTTTTATTATCTTTGACACTTGTTGCAAGACTTTGTTCATTCCGAGCCTTTGCTTTCTTGATTTCAAAAAGTTCTGAAAAAGTTCTGAAAATGTAGTGATACAGTTATTAAGAAAGAATAGAGATTTTGTAGCATGTCCTAGGCCAGGGGTAGGCTAGCTTGGCTCTTTTATGGCTATAGCTGGCTCAGGAATTCTGGGAGTTGAAGTCCACGAGTCATAAAAGAGCCAAGATTGCCTACCCCTGTCCTAGGCCCTGCACCAATTACTAATAAACTTCCAAATCCAATTCAAGGGGCTGGTTTTAATGTGTAAAAACCCTACATGGCTTGCCACTTATGTACTTACAGGACCATCTTTCCCTGTCAGATTCAGGCTATCTTGTATGTTTTTTTTTTTTGTTTGTTTGTTTTCAGAGGAATGGCTCTTGTGAAGTGGACGGTATGGGACATGCAGGCATGCTTTCTCAATGGCAACTCTCACCTTATAGAATACCTCCATTTAGGATTTCGGTTTGCCCTACTTAAGGCAGTAGAAATAGTTCGTTTCCATCTGACTTAGTTTAGCTCAGATGATGGCCATGGGCTGCTTTTGTAGTTTAGGGAGGGCTTTATGGAAGGAATGACAGTTGCCTTTTGCCCTTGTTTTTCTTTGTTCTTTTTTTCATAAATTATCTTCAGTTTTTATAATGGAGGTGTATATAATACTAGTTGAGTAAAATACGAATTATCTTACATGGTTCAGTAGCAGTAATTGAGAACTCAGCCAAACTATTTTGTGGCTGTGGAAAAACTTGTTGATTTAAAAAAAAAGAATCCCAGATCAAAGGAGGTGGGACTTCTGAATGTCAATTAGCAAGTCTCACCCCTTCCACTGTAACCTAGTAACTAACTTAGTCTCCTCAACAGACTAAGGAAAGCTTGCAACGGATTAAAAATTGTCTTCCACCTCCTGTCTCCTCAATAATCCATTGTGGAGGTCCCAAAGGTGCTTTTTTCACAAGGCAACTGGACTTTCTTGTTTTTCTTGAAGACATTTCGCTTCTCATCCAAGAAGCTTCTTCAGCTCTGATTGGAGGGTGGGGAATGGCATGATTTATTCTCCTTGCAGATAGCTGGTCATTTGCATTCTTTTAGCATGAATCATTGAAGCCCCTGGAGGCTTATCTGTGTTGTCAGGTCATCTGAGTAATGCAAATGGGTGTGAAGCTTTCTTGGAACTGTTGAAAGGACTGTATTGTAGACTGGAGATAGATGATGCCGTATCCCTCCCCCTCTGTTGAGAGAGGGCTGTTCAATTTTGACATGGATGGCCTTTTTGACCCCTCTTTCAAACCAGCAGTCCTCTCTGTCCAAAATGTGGACTTTGGTGTCTTTGAAAGAGTGGCCTTTGTTTTTTAAATGCAGATGGACAGCTGAATCTTGTCCTGATGGGTTTGTTCTCTTATATTGTGCCATGCGTTTGTGAAGTGGGTTGTTTTGTTTTCCCCAATGTACAGATCTGCATATGGCTCACTGCATTGTACTGCATATACCACATTGCTCAGTTTGAGCAATGTGGCATATGCACAAACTGAGCAACGTTTGGGACAAGCGTGACCTGGATGACCTCTCTCTTGTGGAAAATATTTCTTTAGGAAGCAGCAGGGAGACATGAGATGCTAAGTCACAGTGTTTCTCAACCTTGATAATTTTAAGGCATGTGGACTTCAACTCCCAGAATTCCACAGCCAGCAATGCTGGCTGTGGAATTCTGGGAGCTGAAGTCTACATGCCTTAAAATTGTCAAGGTTGAGAAACACTGTGCAAGACTTGTGGATTGCCCTCTTAGGCAAGATATGAATGGAATGATTTGAAATGGTGTTTATGTTCATTTGATTAGATCCTCTCTAAATTGCACACACTATGCTGAATGGGGGGGGGGGAACTCCTGGTTTACTGTAACTGCAAACACATACATAGCGAAAATAAAAACTGAAGATATGTGCCTTGCTTTAAAAAGTATGAAGGGTTTTACAAACATCTGAAAAAAATTAGACATCCTATCAGTGCATGAAGCCTCACCTGCCAAGAGTTCTGAGACAGATATTGCTAAAATTGTATCTGCAATGCTGATTGCTTTAAGAACATTTCCACGCAGTGATATATATTCATATTGTAAATTATTTCCCCATTAGGAACGCAGGATAGAAAAGAAAGCAAACAAGTCAGCCTTCAAGCAGGAGAAGACAAGGCAAGAGAAGGAGCTGCTGAACGTGAAACAGAATCTTCAAGGACTCCGGCTGTCGTAATGGAAGAACTGCTTCTTGTTAAGGACTATGGCCACTTCTGTCTGGTTGCTAACTGGAAAAGATACTTTCCATTTATCATATCAGAAGTGTAAAAATAATAGCAATGTGCTGTTTATAAAAATCAAACCACTGGTGTTTACTTGCATGTAAACAGTTTTTTTTTGGTTACCACAACAATAAAATCAGTGTAATATATTTCTTCAATAATAATTTTTTTCAAATTCATTTATTACCTTTCATTATAATAAAAGTAATTCATTTTTATCTTTCAAAAGAATGGTACACCCAGTAGCTTTATATGGCACTGAATGCTGGCCAATCCCAAACGCACTGAGCGCTCTTTACACGCCATGGAGATGTACATGCTTTGTTGGTCATTAGGTGTTTCTCTTCTTGACCATGTCAGCAATGACATAGTACAATAGCAAATGGGCACTGCGCCAATACTTGAGAAAACGTAGGAGAAACACCTATAGTGGTATGGCCATATCCTACCTACGAGCAGGACCCACACCTTTTGCCTGAATCACCTTCCACTTTAATGCAGATGGCAAGCACCCGGTGGAAAGCTGAAGCAAAGATGGCAAGACACAAGAAATGCAGATATGAAAATTGCCCAGTTGGACCCAGATGCCACGTTTGATCATGCAAAATGGCATTTGTCAATCCAAAAAGCAGACCTTGCACCTGTGGGAATAACGCTAGGAAGATGATGAGGACGATAAATTTATTTTTATAATTCTTGGTTGTTGTATACAGGAGACAGATTCAAGGAAAATTACTGTGCTTTGATGGCAGAGGTTAAGTTTAAGATTTTACAGTAATCTGTAAAATTTCATATTAATGGGATCTACTTTGGCACTGCTCTTTAAAAAGCTGTCTTTAAAAAGAGCTTTGAAACTGGCTAAAGGTTAGATATTTATTAAATTTCTATCCTACATTTATTACTGTATAAGTAAGTCAGCAAAAATACATAATACTGTGCATCATTACACGATGAACTGTGTCATAATTGTTTAATTGGTCAGCCAATGGCATTTCACTTGGAATCTTGCAAGCAAGGGAACTAGACAATGGAAAGTAAGCTATCAGGTACATCTGAAAAAATATTAAAGAGAACCCGAAATCACTGCGCTATGAAATGAGTGTGGATTCTGAAAACAAAGCATATGCCACAGGTATGAAGTACCCAACAACACAGCTATTTTGAATATTGGGTAACTATATCACAGTGAAACAATTTGTCAGTGTTTTTATTTAAAAGTACTTCAAATTGGTATCTTTGCATGATGTGTTTAAACGTATCTGTAGCCTTTGTTCAATTACTATCTCATAATAAATCACATGTAACTGCATTGAACAATCATTCTGTCAGTTAGGTAGCCATTGTTGACATGTTTTTTTTTTATTTTCCTGGGCGGTTCCTTAGAAGAGGGTGAAGCCTAACTTTTTGTAACACTCTTGCTTTTGGGCACCAAAGTAAGAGGATAAGGATAAAGGAGAATGTTTGTAGCTCAAGGTTGAAATGAGGGGTCCTTGATGCTCTCTGAGCTTGGTTGTTTACTTGTAGAATTGAGAACAAATCCCAATCTCCACTAGTACTGATAATACTAGTTTGAGTAATGAAATGTCTGCAAGCAAACAGTCCAAGCTGAGAGAGCACCAGAACCCCTCAAATAATTTAAATTCATGATGTAAAGAATGTAAAAAATCAAAATATAACTGCATAATTAAGAGTATTTAATTTACTCCTGTATTTGATGATGGTTAACCATACTTAAGGGGAAAAGAAGATAGATAGATAGATAGATAGATAGATAGATAGATAGATAGATAGATGGATGGATGGATGGATGGATGGATGGATGGATGGATGGATGGATGGTAGATAAGATGATAGATATTAAATATAGATATATATACTCATACAAAACCCTCTCGCAAGGACTGTAGCCATGATTCTCTAATATAAATGCACTGACAATAGCCAGGTTTGCAAATGAGACTAAGTCAACTGCTAATTTTTGAATAAGCCACCACCACAGTGTCTAAGCCAAAAGCCAAATAAACTTTTTAATGTTTTAGTATGCTCTGTCATACTCTAATGGATGGATTCCTAAACAGTTTTCTAAAAGCCCCACAAACTAATTATTTTTGTAAATTATTGTACCTTGAATTAAAATTTGGAGTAGAAATAATTTAAATGAGTGTTTCAGAATATTTATTTAGTGTAATTTTAAAGAATTATTTACTCTACTTGGCATGTAAAGTCATTCCTAACAAGCTATCTCAAGCAACAATTGTTAGACTTCTTGAGAGTTCTAAAAGCAATAAAAATAACTATGTAAATGGCTTGCTGCAAAAATTTATTTTTAAGGTATCTGTGTTCAAAGAAATCCATACATTGGAAGAAAATTCCTGAAATAGCCCACACAAGATGATGCCATCGATTTTGTCAGTTTTTATCTTAAACTGCTGAGGATTTTCATTAAAACTCTGCATCCTCTGCCTCAAAGTAACACTAAGAAATTCAATGGAGGCAGAAGGTTCAAGACATCTTTGACTTTTAAAGCTATAGACATAAGAAATGGACTGTTCTTGCAATGCAATTCATAATAGCATTAAGTCATTATATTCAGCCTGAATGAGCAATCCTGTGTGCACTGATTTAGAATTAAGTTTTATTGAACACTGGAACTTTCTTCTAATTCAGTTAGGGTATATTATTCAGTTACTCCTTCTCAGCAGATAAAATAAGTTCTGGATACTACATATTAATCTGTTCCTTTAGCTGGAGGAAGGATGTTTAAGGCTATATTTACAGAGATATTTGAAAATTGCTTATACTTTAGAGATAAATAATCATTGTTCCTTCTTTCACACAGAGGTTGGCGCACCAAATTTGCTTCCTTGCGACACCTGTGGAAGGCATTTTGCATCTGAAGCACTGGTAAAATCAGAGCATTTTGTACTGAATTTATTTAAGTGATAAAAGAAAAAGAACCAGTACCTGTTTTAATCAAATTCACTCAGTGAACATTTACTCAGAAACAAGTGAAATAAAAACAGAAAGATGTTTAGCAGGAAGATTGATGACAATTGTACTGATTTATGCAGGCATTTAACAAAAGTCTTTGTAAAGCACAGATTTGTTCATAAAAGTGTATAATTCTATACTAAATGTGAGAATGGTGATATATCCCAACTCTGGCAATTCATGTTTATGGATTCAGAATCAGGATTCAAAATCCTATAATTCACTTAACAGCTGTAGTGATTCATTTAACAGTTATGGCAAAAAAAGGTTGATAAAATCCAGCACAACTCAATGACAGCCTTGCTTAGCCACATACATTCTGGTCTCAATTGTGGGTGTACGTCAAGGACTACCTGTAACTACATATTAGAGAAGGGAAAACCCAAACCCTTAATATTTAAATTGAGGGGGGAATTTAAGTCATAGGTTATAAATATTTATAATCTATGACTTAGACTCCCCCCTCAATTTAAATATTAAGGGTTTGGGTTTTCCCTTCTCTAATGTGTAGTTACGGGTAGTCCTCGATCTTCCTGTATCCAATTCAGAGAAAATTAAACAGAATCACTAACCACACATGGCGCCTGTAATTAAGTGATAAACAAAGTGGGATATAAATCTGGTACATACAGATTAAAAATAGCCATTGGCTCAGTTTTTCCTCTGTGATACGCAATCCTTCCTAACTGTTAAACTGCACACAAAACAGATTGGCCAATTAGTCTGCCAAAATCCGGGATCACATGCTATGAATTGGGACACGTAGAAGTAAAGTAAACACAAGCATATTATTCCCAATTAAACGTCCAGATACATGATACACTAAGGTTGAAATGATCATAATTTTACAGGGGGGAGGGGGAGAAAGAGTCTGAAATACAATCAAAAATAATATATGACTGTACTAGTTCAGGAACGTGACCGTATGAATTTTCCTTTCCGTTAGGCAAGGCACAATCTGATATGCAAAAAAATTTTCAACAAGAAGCGCAAGCCGTTCAATTCCTTGAAACAACGACTACAGGGAACTGACATCCCAACAGTGAAAAAGAAGCCACCCACAAAAGTAGACCTTTCAATACCATTCCCAGGTTTTCATTAATATGTTTTAAGGAGTATCAAAGTCTTGCCATTGAGATCACTTGCAACAAGAGAGCTGGAGAAGGGGATGTCTGGATTCTTTATGTAGACTTGGGTTGTCCTAGTACAGAGGTTTTGAAGGTCCCCCAAAATTTATTATTTGATCACCAACATTTAGCTAATGCAGGGATCCCCAACCTATGGGCCGCAGCCCACTACCAGGCCATGGCCTCTTGGCCAGCAGGCCACGGGAATAGCTGGCTGATGAGCGCATGCATGAGTGTGCACTCCCCCCCACTCATGCTAGCACCCGCGGCCCTGTTTGTGCATGCATGCGGGCGCGAATGGGGCCACTAGCATTGGGCAGGTGTGCACAGCCCATTTGTGCATGCGCCGCTAGCGCTGCACTAGGGCATGTGGCACCATTTGCATGTGCACACACCAATTTGAAAGCTGTTCTCCTTCTCTCCGGGCTGTGAGCCCGGAAAGGTTGGAGATCTCTGAGATAATGCCTGGAATTCTAACCTTTCATTATCAAATATAAAATGGGACAAACATGTTTTGTCTTCTGCTTTCCTGCCAACATTCATCTGAAATAAATGCTGTTAACAGGAATAGCTTTAGGGCCTCATCCCTTATTATCAAAGAGTGAAATTTGTATTTCCTGGCCTAGAAATGTAAACTTTAAGGGCCCACCATTTTTGCCTCATTCATGTAGCTGCTATAAGGATTCAATCATATTCTTCTACTTGGTCTAATGAATTTAGCTTCTCACCTTATCCATATACTCAATCATGGAAAATAAATGGCTTAGGCTTAGTCATTCCACCTCAGCCCAGTATATCGTTCAGGCTGCTGATGGAAGGGAAAAAAATGGAGGGAGTGTTAGGTATGCTGATTTATGTTCCTGTAGAAAAGGTGTGAGGTTCCTTCCATTTGCTCTACTCTGTCAGACCTCCCAAGCAATCTCCTTTTCCAAACCATCATTCCCCTCCAATGACTACAGTACTGACTCCCCTACAACAAAACAAACCTGGAAAATTCTCTTTGTCCAAAACACCTAATAACAATAATATACATATTTTGTACCTTCAGGCCACTATTGACTCCTGGAGACTGTTTGGACTAATCCCTGCAGTTTTCTTGGCAACATTTTCAGAAGTGGTTTGCCATTGCCTGCTCCCTAGGGCTGAGAGGGTGTGATTGCCCCAGGGTCACCCAGCTGGTTTTGTATCTAAGGCAGGACTAACACTCACAATATCCCCATTACCATCTAGATGGCTTAACCACTAAAGCTGCCTCTTATAATGGAATATTTTTATTATTCATAATCTGTTCAAAACTCTCTTAAAATTGCTTTTCAAAACACCTGTGATTAATATATGCTCTGATTGATGGAAGGGAAACCTAATTACTTTCCAGAATGGACTGGAGAAAAAATCAAATTGGAGGCAGCAGCATGAAGATTTTATTTCAGCCATCAGAGCAGCTAAACTTGCAACTCAAGCCATGAAAGAAGGCCGTCCTCTTCCACCACCACCACCTCCATCCATTAACCCAGGTGATGTACTGAAACTTCATCTTGGCTTAAAAATAGAAAAGTGGGGGTCATGGGTTGTAGACAGTAATACGATAAGGTTTCTCAGCCTAATTTTTTTTCTACTATATGATGGCTGCAGATGGTGATTCTTTGGATGAATGTGTAGCTGCCCTCATATTTTCAACTAGTGTTTCTATCTAATCTCAAAACTCGAAAGAGTTTTAAAAATAGTTTGGAAGGTTTTGAAGAAAACGTTGTGGAATGTATTAGGTAACCAGCTGTCAACCTTGGAGGCAGGTCAGGTCAGAAAACTTTGGTTTTATTGATATAGTTATAATAATTAAAATCTTGAAAGCTGGTGTGTGTTTGCCCTTCTCTCCCTCTCACACCAAAATGAATTACAATTCAGCCTGTCTGAACTTTTTTTTCACACTTTCTGTTTCCTGGACTTAATGTATGCTTTTGTTTTAGTAACCGTGTCTCATTTTCTCCAAGGTCATATCTGTAGTTCTTTACACTAAATATCCTTCCATTCAGTTACTGTTTCCCAGCGAAGTAATTTAAAAAAGAAAAGGTTATATATACTCAAGAGAGTATGTCTAAAATGAGCAACTTTATTTGTAGATGCAATCCGTTCTGCTCTGAATATAGGTAACTTTCTGAGTCAAAAGCTGGTATAATTCTGACAATGAGTAAATATTTATTGTGGGTAGGACTTTTCCCCCCTTCTTGCCTAGGGCTTGAGGAACAACAGCTTTCTATAGTATTCTTGAGAGTAGAGCTGTGGAAATGTCACTCATTTATCTGCTCCATTTCTATAAAGTTGCAATTCCTGCACTCATCTTCCAAGGATCATTTGGGATAACCGCGGTGCTTTGTTGTATTCAGATTATATTCAATGTCCTTACTGTATGAGACGGTTTAATGAGACTGCTGCAGAAAGGCACATCAATTTTTGCAAAGAACAAGCAGCCAGGAGATCCTTTGCCCCAGGCCAGAAGGGAGGCAAACCAGCTTCAGTAAGTAATTGGACTCTATTCCAGCTCTTCGCTTCTGCCATTTTTCTCTCATCCCTTTTTTGAAGGATCATCATACACGGCAGAATTTCGACCATATTCCTGTCACTGTTGTGGCTCTTTCACTTCAGGTTCAGGAAATGACAAGTAACCCTTTGAAATAAGGGACTGGGAATATTTAAAAATTGCTCAGTCAATTATCAATGTCTTATCTTCTTGCTCCTTTGAAGATTTTTTAAAATATATAAATGATTAACTACATTATATTGTGAACCTCTGTTGTGACTCTGTTTAGTTATGCATGCTCTGTTTTCTAGGGAAAACAAGGAGTTTCCAAAAAAGAACCAACTTTAACAAATGCTGTGGGGACACTACTTCAAAACAGATTGCAAGGGACAAATACTGGCCCATCTGTAACAGGTAAGAGGCAACATATCTGAAATAATGTTTAAGAAATACTGAACACTTAAAGTCATCCCAGCAGAACTACAACACCTATATTTTACCAGTAATTCCATATTTGCAGATACTGTATAACAGTTATAACATTGGCAACTTTAAGACCCATGGACTTCAACTCCCAGAATGGCTGGCTGAGGAATTCTGGGAGTTGAAGTCCACAGGTCTTAAAGTTGCCAAGGTTATGTAACCTTGCTGTATATGTAGAATTTTATATTCAATACAGAATTTATCTGAAATCCTTTAAAAATATACATATACTATAGATTTTACATAAATCTTATACTGTAAAATCAAGGTAGTTACTGATAGGCCAACTGCAGTCATTTATAATTATGTGATATTAATTTGGTATACAATGGAACAATACATAATCTAGTCCAGGGATTCCCAACTGGGAGTGCTCCCACCCCCTGGAGGTGCAAGTTGATATTGCAGGGGGTGCGAAAACTTGGGTTCTCAAAATTATAGTATATATGCATTATTTCAAACTTTTGTAAGGGGTGTGAGAATATATCAGAACCATTCTAGGGGTGCGGGGTATAGAAAAGGTTGGGAGCCACTGATCTAGTTTAATGTATAGTTTTCTGCAGGGTTTTTATTCTGTTCTATACTATTTTAAAAACAAGATTGTATAATTTTTATTCATTAAGGTACTTAAGAGAATGGTTTTAGGAAGATCTAGCAAAAGGATGTAATATAAATTGGAGATGTAACTGTTCTCATTGTTTGCTTTCCCAGTTACACTGACATTCATATTAACATATATGAATTTGGGTGAACTAAAATTGATGCTCAAGATCTATTCGCGGATTAATCTTACTCTGACTTAACTTTAAAGTGAAATCATACAAGCAGCACCAATCATACCTCCATTTGAGTAATGTTCAAAAAGTGGATTTAGAATTAGCAACTACTGAGCTAGTTAAATTCCCCAGCATTTAATGTAAAATGGGCAAATTAATGCTTCAGGTCTATAATTTGAATCAACAGTGCTTTAAATTGCTTGAGTTTGCTGATAATTCTCAGGATATATTTTTCAGAGTTCTTTACAGATATATTGTTGTTTTAAAGGACATGGTATTGAAATTTCAGCTGGAGCAATACACAAAAAAATATCCCCTATTTCTTCTGGAACAGAATCTGGGTAAGATATATTGTATAGATTAACTGGCTGTATAGTCTAATCCAGCAGATGTATCTCAGAGGATTTAGGCCCATATGATTCTGCCCTGGTCATAACATAGGGCATTTCCTAGATAAACAGAATACAGGTAGTTCTTGATTTAGAACCATTAATTTAGTGATTGCTCAAAGTTACACTGCCACTGAAAAATGTGATTAACAACTAGCCTTGCACTTACAACTGTCATAGCATCTCCATGCTTATGTAATCGAAATTCAGGCACTTGGTATCCAGTACGTATTTATGATAGTTGCAGCATACTTGGGTCAGGTGATCACCATTTGTGACTTTCCCATTTGGCTTCTGACAGTCGGAAACAACAATAATTTTGTTGCATAAAAATAAGCAATGAAATGGAAAACTGTAGCATTTACTGTATGCTTCATATCTATGACATACTATTTATTTCTCTAATTTTTACTTCATTTCCACTTTATGTTTACACAAACATACCATTTGCATGACTTGCTCTCATTTATATACATTTGATTTACTCAAAATACCAAGCCACAGATCACTTTCATTAAAAATAACTACGGTACTGACAGCTTTCTTTATCAAAGGTTTTAGTTATAAAATACTGTAAAATTGTTCCAAAATTCTGATACTTCCTCTTAATTTTTAAGTCTCGCTGATCTTTATAGCCCACCTTTTTTTAATAAATAACCCAGGGAAGCAAACAGACCTGATACTCCTTCCTATTTTCCCCGCAATAATAACTCTGTGGGGTCTTGGGCTGACAGAATGACTGGCCCAAAGTCACCCAGCCAGCTTTCATGCCTAAGGCAGAACTAGGACTCAAGAGTTTCCTGCTTTCTAGGCCAATACCTCAAACACTACTCCAGGAGTTTTCAAACTTGGCCCTTTTATGACTTGTGGACTTCAACTCCCAGAATTCCTCAACCAGCGTGCCTAGCCATATAATATAAATTATAGTTAATGTAAATTTAATACTTGCAACTGGAGATGATTTCTTTCAATAGCACATTATTTCCCAGTTTTTTCCACTCTTTTCATCCTGTACATATAATTATTTCCCTCAGCCTCTTAAACCATTTTTTTTCATATTCCCTTTTCTCCTGTGCTACTTGTTCTTGTATCTTTGAAAGATGCAACCTAACACAAACACTAGAACAAATCTGTTCAGTAACACATCTGTGAAACCATTCCAAAGATCAGACTGCACTCTCTCAAACTAGCCAGTAAACCAGACTGTTGTGTTATCATCTGCTTTATTTCGGACTACCTAAATTAATGCTTGCCTGCTCTTAGGGCTCCAACTCATGGAAGAAGATAAGAACATGCCTTCCAGACATCTGAATAGCAGCCTTTACTTTTTACAGCACCCACATTAGAAGAATTCAGCAAACCAGTTTACTAATACTTTCAGCCTCTCATCTCTCTTAAAACCTGGATGAAGTATGTGATAATAAAACTAGCATGGTCATTTCCAGTTTTTACAGGAAATAATCTTATGTAAATAAGAGTGTTTCCAGCTCTAGGGCCTCTTTTTTTCCTTTGGTCAACTTCTGTGTTGCCTTAATCAAAAAGTGACTCTAGAGACTTTACACAATAGGATTAAAAGGTCCAGTAAATAACAACTAAAAACAACAAACAGTATCACCAAATACTGTACATAGGGTTTATTGGAAAACATAACACCACAAATATAATGAGACCAGTCCATCATCCTGCAGCTATGACAAGAGCCAGATTTTTATGGAAGCCTCAAGAGTTGGGTCACAAAGAATTCAGTGGTTATGTTGTTCCACAGGACAGGACAGCTACCAAGAAATGTTTTCTGAGCATCATACGGTGTGTGTTTTATAGCTAAGAACAGAAAGTTGCCAACACTTTCAGATCTTACTTAAGCAGTAACAATAGAAAAACATCCCTGTAGATCAGTGGTTCTCAACCTGTGGGTTGCAACCCCATTTGGGGTCGAACAACCATTTCATGGGGGTCGCCAAACAACGCAGTCCGCCATTTTTCCCCCCTTTTCCTTAGCTGTGCTACTCCCTTTTATTCTATTGGCTTTTGAAAGCCAATAGAATATACTCTCTTGAATAGAGTCTAATTCTATTGGCTTTCAAAAGCCAATAGGAATTGTCCAGGCTGTCTCTGCCCTGCTGAGCCCGCCAAAAGTCCCATTCTGCAAACGGTGCTGCAAGTTGTCTGCAGCGAAGGCAAGTTGTCTGGAAGTTTCCACCCCTCCCTGCTGAGCAACTACTAAAAATGTAAGTAAAAGAGGGCCAGGGGTGGGAGGTGGGAGGCCGGCGGGTGCAAGGAGGGTTGCTGGCGCACGTGGGGCCCGGCGGGTGCCTTACCTCCCTTGGGCTGGGCCAGCTGGTGGCCCAGTCGGTGGTCGGCCTGCACCGTCTCTGCCGCTTGCCAGCTACGCCTCGGCCGGCACAGGGGGCGGCACCACGCATGTGTGGCGCTCCCGGGCAAGGAAAGTCCTCGACTTATGACTGGTTGGGTAGTCCTCGACTTAGGACCGGTTGGGGGTCGCATTAAAAAGGTTGAGAACCACTGCTGTAGATCAGGGGTCCCCAACCTATGGTCCACCACCCTGTACTAGGCTGTGGCCTATTGGCCACTGGGCCGTGGGAATAGTTGGCGAGCACCCCTCCAATTGCGATAGTGCTGCCACATGGGCGCTAGCAGCCCCATTTGTGCATGCGCAGGGGCGCTAGCACTGCCACCAGTGTCATGCAGGTGCCAGCGGACTGTTTGTGCATGTGCATGGGTGTCACTGTGGCTGTGCATCCTGCTTGTGCATGTGCGCTAGTGCCATGTGCATGCCCATTTGCACATGTGCACGTGGGCTGCATGCGCGCACATTTCCTTGCTTCTCCCTTTCCTTCTGGGCCAAGCCAGAAAGGTTGGGGAACTCTGCTGTAGATAACTAGGAACTGAACTATTAAGAGCTTTATAAGTAACATCATGAATTGCAACCAGAAGCCCACTCGCAAGTCAGTGCAGTTAACAGAGCAGCATTTTGTGTAAGCAAGAAGCACCCATTCTGCATTTTGGATGTTAGCTTCAGACTAATCTTCAAAGATAACCTTCAAGGGTAGCCCCATGCGGAGCACTTTTTTATGCTGCCTTTGAATCAGTCTTAACTTTTCCTAACTGCAGAGACTGGTTCCTGCAATTTCTTTTTCAAGATTTGTCCAAAGTAGTTTTCCATTGCTTTCTTCCAAGATCTGGGATTGACTGGTCCAAAGTCACTCTGCTACCTTTAAGCTTAAGGTAAGACTGGAACTCACAGTCCCCCAGTTTCTAGCCTCTTGCTTTAACTACACTAAACTGGCTCTTGGAAAACATATTACAATAGTCCAAATGGAAAGTGACTAAGGAAGGAATGACTGTGTATGGCCTGTTCATCACGAAAGGAAATAATTTGCACACCTAATAGATCTGTTCAAAGGCCCTCCTGTCCACAGCTACTACCTTCTCACTGAGCAGGAGCCCAGAATCCAGGACCCCCAAATTTTGTACTGGTTCTATCTGGGGTAGCGTCACCCAATTAGGGTCACAAATACATTAGGCATAATTGTTTTACATTAGTTATTGATCAATACACTGGATAACAAATATAAACTCATGGCTTTGTCATTAAAACTAATTTAAAATTAAGTAGGATGACCAAACATAGGTCCTCCTATGATCTATGACCAAGCATAGGTCATCCTTTGTACAAAAATCATGATACAAATGCCAATTACACATCCAATCATTTTTACCAGAGATTGCTCAAGGTACAAACCGAGCCGGATTTTAAGAGTTGTATTAATAGTATGCCATCTGTCAGGATCTCGTTGCTATTTTAATTGATTACCCATACATTTTTTTTTAAAAAAGCACAATCTTTTATTAAATCGAATTGTGAAAATGCCTCCCAAACACTCCAAAATGGGGAATGAAGAAAAAAGGCGCCATTCACAAGTCTTCAAAGCAAGCCACCCCGTGCCCGTCTGTCTAAGCGCAGGACGCCGCAGCCAGAAGCGAAACCATCGGACCTCGCTCCACTCCGCTCCGTCTGTCCCAAGTCCCAAATATACAGGCTACAGAGGGCGGAAGTTCAGAAGACGGCCCTCCCCGCCACGTAGGTGTACGGAACACGTCGGAATCAATATTAACCGCGCAAGTCAACAAGCACAAGTCACGGATGGCTTGAAGGAGGCGGTGCAGAATCCAAGGGTGCAGAAGGGGAGAGGTTCCGCAGGATAGCAAAGGCGCTCCTTCCTCCTTCCTCGTTCGGGGAGGGCTGCAGGGCTGCAAAGCTTAAGACTCGTCGGGCTTGTCGGCGGGCGGCCCGCAGGGTTGCAGCATCTTTTCCATGAGATTGAAGCGGACGCGGGCCTTGCTTTCGTTCTCGGCGACGGCGAAGTAGTTGAGCAGGTCGAAATGGCCCATGTAGGAGCAATAGGAGTCCCGGTGCTGGTTCACCAACCACTCCCACTTGGTGGTGTCGGCATGGCCGGTCCCGATGTATTTGGACTGCAGGTGCTCCAACTGGCTGTGAATCGTGTAACGGTCCGTCATGATGCGCGAGAGGTTAGGACACCACCCCGAAACAGGCAGCCGCGCGCCAACGTTCTTTGGAAAATGGAACCTGAAGGAAAAGGCCGCCCTATCGTCACTTCCGCTTCCGGCTTTATGACCCGCATGTCGCCTGGCGCCAATGTTTCCTCTCTAGCCTCTTTCGATTGCTATGATCATAATTTTCGTGAGATGGGAAAGGGCGGGCTTTAGATCCTACGAAGCCAGTAAGGGTTGTTCCCGCCTTCTGTTTAAACGAATGGAAGGGCCGGTTTCCTTTTTAATTTGAAAACGTCAGTACAAAAGAAAGACTCGAAATGCATCTTGGGGGTTGGAGTCTTTGAAGAGGAATTCTCATGTGACATTTATATCTCCTGTAGTAGTTTTCTCGGCAGCTCTACAGAGTGCTTTGGTCTGCCACCTTCTGGGATTTTTAAAATGATTTTCTAGCTCATGGACAGGAATTTCAGGATAGTCTCTTAGGCAGAAGCTAACCAGGCAGAATTTTGCTTACTGTCTCAGATAACTTCCCTTGTGGGAGATTAAAAATTCTTAGTATTATCTCTAGATTAAGTTGGATGGTTTGTATAGAGCAGTCTTTCAAAGAGAATTACTATCTCTTCATTCTTACTATTGAATGCATTTATCTGTTATCCCAAATCACTATTGTGCAAGCCAGGTCTTCATTTCTCAGACTAGCCAAGTATTTTCACCAGGATTTGTTTGAAAGATTTGAAGCAGTAATTTAAAAAAGTATCTCTGAGCATATACCAAATGTTTACTGTTAGTTTTCTACAGCCAGATCATAAGGATTTGGTTGTAAGGCTATTCCATTTGTAGGAGACAGCTTCTCCTATCGTCCTTTTGTTTTGATACAGGAGCCAAACCATGAAAACAAATGTGTTTACAAACCTTTCATCAGAGCAAACAATGAGGATAGATAACTACTCTAACTTAATTACTATATTTTAAAAACGTTTTGAAATGTTGCTTGGATTACAAGCATGTCTGTCTCTGTAGTTAAAAAGAATAGCTGCCTGATGTCATAATTTCCTACTTTGCACAGAAGTTACAGTAATATGCGTGTGCATAATTTCTGTGCCTTGAGAATCAGAACAGATTTATCAGAACTGTGTACTACAAGTTGGTCCCTTTGAGCTAATTTGATAGGATATTTATATGGGCTGTTTTTTTTAATAGTTGTTACTATATTATTTTAATTCTAGTATATATTTTTGAATTACAAGTCATCCAGTCACTGATTGAGATGGGAGAGTATAATAAATAAATAAATTTGTGTTTTTGGATGGTAGAATGCTGAGTTGTAATATCTTTTTTCACACTGGTAAACAAACTTGTACACACAAAATTTTTTAAAAATATTGTTCTTTACTCAAAATATTTTACAGTTATAGTTTCAATATTAATACATCCTTCAGTGCAATATTTTCAAAAAATTTTACCATAACAGTTTCAATATTAATAAATCCTTCAATGCAATATTTTCATTGCTACAATGGAAGATAGTGAGAAAAGATTCTTCAAGCTGCCACATCTATTTGCAACCTCATTGAAAGATTTACTAATTGGACCTAGCAGCTCTGAAAACTACGTGAATTATTTCTCTGTTTAATCAAGGACAGTTTAACTTGGGAAATAATTCTAATTGTTTGAATCTAACATTTATTTCAAAATTCAGAGCTTGGCCAGATGAGAGAAAATATACTCCTGTTTTGTTATATGCATCTTCCTCACTGAGTAACTATGTTTTGACCAGGGTAAAATTACTTGTTTTGTTAGGCCTGTAAAACAGGTACTGCGAGAATTCTTATATATAGGTTTTTTCTGGAGTATGGGACAAATACTGGTTATTGTGGGCCAAATGCTAATTGTCTTTTGGGCTGGAGCACTACAGTATTTCATTAAAATCAGGTGTTAAAAGTCTCCAATTTTGGCACTAGCTTTGTACTAGTTTCATTAAAAAAAATAGCATGACAGCAGGTGAGGAAGAGAAGTGATTAAAAAAGTTAAGTGCATATTAGACTGCAAACGTTTAGTGATTGTATTTATGATAATGTAATCATGTAACATTGTTTGGTTTAGACAGGAAATGTCAAGAATCTATTTGTGTGACCAACTCATTTGCATATCATCTCAAAATATTTTGTTATAAAATAACAAAAGCTGTATTGATCATCCGGGGAAATGAAAATTGGGAGGGAACACAGTTAAAGCAAAGAGATCTCAGTTCAATTAAAGCCTCCTTAAAATCAGTTAAATTAAATTTTAAGCAACTATCTGTTTTCATTCATTTCAATGGAATTTTATTAAAAGTTTAAAATAGTGGTTTTCTTGAATTCTAAAAGTTGGAAGGGATATCAAAAGCCATCTAGTCCAAACTCTTATTGGACTGAAGTTCCTATTTTGAAATTAAATGTAAACAAAACAATGTTAGCATATGAAAATAATATACTTCCCAGCTAGAATTAAATAGTAAAATAAAATACCCATGTTATATTAATCCCAGTGTAATAATAAGCAGATAACTCAGAGGCATTTTCTTCAATAAAGTAATGCTTGTAATGCCTGACAAATAGTTCACACACATTTTCATACTACACCAGATTCAATATTTAAAAAATAATTTTATCTCTGGGATGTGTATGTATTATATTAGTATGTATGTATGTTTGTGAGTCAAAGGTGAAGAACTTGCAATTCAAGGATCACTCAAATCTCTCAGCCTAATTGCAAATAACGTCCACAAGCAATCAGTTAGATCTCTGGCAAAAATGATCCAACCTTCCACAGTAGCAATTTTTCTTTACAAGTAAATGGAACAAAAATAAATAAAACTAATAAAATATTTAGTCTTTTATTTAGATATAAACATTGCTTCAACCAGAAAATAAATCTTGTTGAAGCAAGTGATTGAAAGTATCAGATTATCCCAAACTTTCCCGATCTGACACCCAATATATTGGAACAATTGTCTCCCTACATCTGGAGGGTGCTGGATGCCAAAAGCTAAACTACTCTAGTACTGATTTCTTTATTAATTTTAATTGGTGCAGATCCATGTGAATGCTTTGAATTCACAATTAGATGCACTGATATGAACACACTTTCTGAATTAATGGGTAATATTATCTGCACAAACTATTTACTGTTACATCTCAATTATTAGTAAGCAAAAATAATTCTTACTCTGTATAGAAGTTTGTGTTTATACAATTGCCAAGTGCTAACTGTAAAATAACCTGCATGGGAAACGGCTCAAATCTAGTTCGGTAATATTGAACTTCAAAAGGAGAACTAACTCCTGTTGTGGATTAGTTAAAAGGACAAAAAAAAGACACAGTTCCTAAAATCAGATCCTTCTTGAGAAATACAGGCAATCTATCCTTTCTGCAGAATAGCAATAAACTGAAAATCAAGTTCTCATTTTTAAAGACTGTACAAACATGAACTGTTTGTGGGAGAGTTTCTTTTCTCCCCGCCTCCCCCCGGCCTTTTTATCACATTCTGTTTTTTTCCTAGGTGACCTGATTCCAAATCAGAATTTATCCACTTCTTTTATCCCACACACACTTTACCCATACATCTGTAAAAGACTAGTATTTGGGGAGTACGAGGAAGAATTGGTTTGTGAGTTTCTTTTACAGGAAGAAGACAGAACTTCCTGCTAGCAGAGTGCATCTATCTCTGGCTGAAAACTCCTGATTTAATCACCCGAGTCTTTGATAAAAGGATCAGGAAGCAGATGGAATGAAAGAACCTAGGGCAAAGTTTCCCTATCTTGGCTGTGTTAAGATGGGTGGACCAACTCCCAGAATTCCCCATGAGAGCTAAGGAATTCTGGGAACTGAAATCCACCCATCTTAAAGGAGTCAAGGTGAAGAAACATTGACCTACAAAATTGCTTTGAATCCAACCAGACCAGGTTGCCATGGTCTATGAGAGCATGATATAATCCAATGGGCTGTCTCATGATTAGGAGGTAAAGCTAGAATGATGACTCATGAAGTGATAACAAACTTCTCTTCCTAGAGTAAGTAATCCTGCTGTCTATGTACCTCAGGAATGCTTAAACAATGATATAACCGATACTAAAAAAAAAAAAAAAAACAGATGAATGTCTGGATCCCAGTTGAAACAATCACAAGGAGCCTTAGTGGGCAACCTCAATTGGCTGTGATCTCATGGTCACAAAAGGCAGAACCTCCGGGGGAAAAAATATTTACCCACAATTTCCATGTGAGAATAACCCTAACTATGGTTTGGTTTTCCTTCACTTTATTTATACTTCCTTGGTGGGGAAAGGGTGTTCCTCTCAATTTTATTTATAAAAAAAAATGTGTGTGTGTGTGTGTGTGTGTGTGTGTGTGTGTGTAAAAACTCCATACTTTTCTAAGTCCATCTCAACAGATAAAATATATATTAATAACTTTTAAAAAATCAAACAATATAATAAAAAAAATCTTAAACGCATATGATGGATGAGTATGTGTTTGTATATGTATGTGTAGATCCACATGTGGGTGTATTATAACAATATATTAACCCTGAAAGAAGAATATGAAATCTAGTAACCACAGTCCTTAGTGGCTGGAAGTAAGCTTCTGATAGGACATTCCCCTGTAGGAACATGAACATCTGCTTGGGAGAACGTGTACAAAATCCAATTTTACTTGGGATTAATTCTAGATGGCATTTCCTGACACCACTGCTTGCACTTAAAAGCACACATAGACAGGAAACCTCCAATTTTTCTTGAGCTAGGATTTTTAAAGTATATCTTACTCTGTACCATTTCCCTAGAATTACTGTACATTCAGGATGTAATGAAAATAAAGAATTCCACATTTCTCCTGCCTAAACAGGTTTCTTCTCTTTGAATCTGATGAACTTTTTAAAGACTCTGATTGCTGGGGAGGGGCACAAAATATTCATTTGAACACATTGGCTTTCTTCTTGCTGGATCCTACATGACTTATTTTTTTTCCTTCATTGTATTTTGTCCACTAAATTATTGACTCGGTTATTGAGAATGTGTTGTGGGAAAACAAAAATACTGAAATAACTCTTGTCAGCATCTGTTTTGC